ATCTGTCTCATCACACAAAACTTAAGAGTCCCTGACCCTCGATTATGAGAGTTCAGAGTGTCAGTGTCTTGCGGCATCGCGATTCAGGAAGCAAAGGTGGCAGGAGTGGCAAGTGCTCCTTAACGACTGTGCCAAGAATCCTGAAGTCAGGCTGTGACAGTCCTGCTTAGAGAAGGGCCTGTGCCCACATCTCCTTTACGCACCAGGCCACACTCAGTTACGTGTCAAAGGAGACCCCTTTGACTGGGGCAGCTAGCTCAACGTCCCGCCAAGCTAACGCCAGTACACCTCCCCGTTTCTTCACTGAGCGCCCATCTAAAGGGCGGCCTTAGCCCTGCAACAGACAAACCTCACCTACCTGGTCACTACATCCCAGTGCAGAACATGAAGGCTGCAGAGAACAGAGTCTAGGAGGCCCTGGGGCACTCCAGCTCCCGAAATCTTGAAAAAGCAAATGAGGGGGTCCACTTTGGACGGCTGCCCCGAAACTTGCAAGCTGACTCGTCCAGCTCACGTGATGCTGGGGTGGGGTCTGCTCACTGCCCAAGCATGTTCAGTGTCCCTGGGAGGTCACCTCGGGCCCTGTGTTTCTCTCAGCCTCATACAGAGGGAAATCCTGGCTCAGAGAAACGGAGAGCACTGACCTTTGCAGGGGCCTCTTTACAGCCAGAGAGCACACTCCTTTCACACCGTCTGGTGGTGGTACTTTGGCTGTGGCCCAGCCCATTTCAGTGTAGTCCAAAAGGCCTCACAGTAAAAAGTCTCCATTAGGACCTATCAGGCTTCCCTGCCTCTCAGGCAATATGAAAAAGGTAACAGCAACGGTTACTTCCCAGTCAGGATCTATCGGACTGGTAGTATGAACGCTAGGATTTCTGAAGACCCAATTCAATGGCTGCTCCCCAGCCTCGGCTCTTCTCTCTCCACTATTTCCTCTCAAATAAGCCTTTCTAGTGGATCTGGCTGAACTCTCCTCCCTGAATCTCTCCTGCGACAATTAAGTGCATTTCTTCCCATCCATTTCTCCATGGAAATGGAGAACAGCTGGTCACCACCTTCCCTCCAGACTCAGAGGCCATCATTGAAGAGCATCATTAACTTCCAACAGTGAGCCAGTGATGTGGAGAAAACATTATTCACCACTGGCTGCACAAAAGTAGACTCAGCCAAAACCTCCTTAAGAAAATCATGTCTTCCATAAGAATCCAGCCCCCTGTGGGATTAAATATAGATACGAAATTGCCTTTCCGTGCTCAGAAGTAAGCTGCTTGATTTGGGAGGCTGTGTTTCTCTTCTGCAGTTCCACGGTCATATGTATTCCACATAAATGCTTCTTCCTCGAGAAAATGTATATTGATTTAGAGATCCCCCGTTAGTGCCAGCCTCGCCAACAGGAGACCTCAGAGCCAGAGCAAAGAAAATTAAAATGGTGATTCCGATGTTTCAGCCTCTCCAAAGTCATCCAAACGTTTACCTTTGGGGACAACAAATGCTTTCTCACTGGGATGGAAAGATATTCAATTATGTGTTTAAATTTACCACTGAACAGGTGAGTGGGTGAACAGGTGAACCAAAATTCAAACTGCAGCACTTCGCAGCTGCCTTACAACAGAAAGGTCTATGCTAACGTTTGCTGGGACTCAGCCCTCGAAGCGTGCAAATCCAAGGAGTTAACGAACCACCCAGTCCCATGTCCTCAGTTCTCAGCAGTCAACTGAGGTCAGCTGTGGCGTTTGCCCAAGGTCACACAGCTAAGCGTTGGCAGCCCCTGACTCCTCATCTGGGTTTGGTCCTTGCTCTGCCCCCATCAGGCAATTTTCAATTCTGGCCAAGCCATTTCCTCTCTCTGGATTTGCTTTCTGTCTGCACACAGAGGCAGCTGGACCAGCCACCAGCGAGAAGGCGCCGTGGTTTAAGAGTAGGAGCTCTACAGTCAGACCGTGGGTTCCAATCCTGGCTCTGCTCACTCTGTGATCCTGAACAATGTATTTATCGTCACTGTGCCTCAGTTTCCTCATCTACAAAGTGGGGGTAAATGAGAGTACCTGGTACATACCTCACCGAGCTGTTATGAAAATTAAAATGAGATGACCAGAAAGCGCTTGGCAGGGCACCTTGGACATAGGAAGGACTCGATAAATGTCAATTATCATAATCATCTAAACTCTCTTCCAGCTTTAAAGTTCTCTTATGCTGGGACTCTAACAGGAAATAATGACTATCCTTTTTAAAAAAAAAAATGGTAACATTTCTCCCCATTGAGTTCATGCCACGGGCAAAAATCAAGGCCAGACACGGGTACTAAGAAGACAGACAATGATTACTAGTCTTGGAGAGTGACTTAAGGAGTCAGGAGACAAACAGGCAAATGGATTTTAAGAGGAGTCATTTAAAGAGACCTGACTAATGCATTCAAGGCCTTGCTAATGAGAAAAAACAAACCATAAAACATATTGCGAAGCACATTTCAAATACGCATGACCCTGGTCCCAGGAATCTCTCTTACAGAAACATTTGCTTTACTATACAATTATATCGTAGAAATATGTCACTGCAGCATTATAGTAGATACGTATTTCAGTGCACGTAACACATATGTAAATGTCTGCACAACAGATAATAAAACATGTTACATCTGCACAAGGTACGCCGGGACCCCAGTCAAATGACTGGTGGCCAATTTTCCCTTTTTCAAGATATTAATTCAAAGCATCTTCAGAGCTCTGTTCAGGAAGCAGAACCTTTAAGATGCCAGGCACTATGGCATGCTTAACTGTCCAACACACTGTAAGGGCTTCATGACAGTTCTCCAAAGATCAAGCTCAAGGTTAACAGTGGTGACATTTGGGAAGCACGTGGGAGAGGCAAGGGGACTTTCCTCTTCTTTTTTTTTTTTTTAACTTTAAAAACATCTGAATTTTTATGATTTCGCACTGTGATGAGAGATGATACATCAGAATTCTCTAGACCAGGACTTCTCAGCTTGGCACCACTGACACTGGGAGCTGAATTGCTCCTTTTTTCTTGGGGAATGCAGGGGGGCTGTCCTGCACATCCTGGGCTATTCAACAGCATTCCTGGCCGCTACCCACTAGATGCCACTTATGACAACCCAATAGGCCAAACGTCCTCTGGGAGGCAAAATCACCCCTGTTTGAGAACCACTGTCCTAATCAATTGGTTAGCTACATTAAATACAAATCATTCCATGACAAGTAAAAACAACTACTACAGATCAGGCCACCTGGGCTCTATTGCCTTTCCCTAGTTTGGGGAAGCATTTATGAGAATAAATGCTTCTAGTCGCCAATGCCATTGAAGTTTCCTGAGTTTGAGTCCCAACTCTCTCCATCACACTTTTGCTTTTCTCTGTGATTCTGGTGCTCTACCAGGAGTTCCTTTCTGCAACTAGTTCATGTTCAAGGTCAACTTTAGGAAAGCAAATGACTTATATTCTGATAAATACACATAAATAACTTTTAGAACCGCTTTTCTTTTTCCTGCCAACTACTTTAAAAATCAGAAATAAAACTATTTCAGATCCTCACAGTGAAGTGAACGTGGTAATACACTGGTCTGATGATGTCTGTAAGGGAATTACATCTTAAATGTTCATGTTTTAATGCTCCCAAATTCATTCTTACGCGTCCTGAAGCCTAGCACTCTGGTTTTGTTTGATTCCTTTTGTTTTTTGGTCTTTTGCCACATAAAACTTACAGTGTCATTTGGCCTAAAAAGAGTAACAGGACACCCAAGTGCCTGGTCAGGAGCATGAAGATGGCACAGAAGAGCCAGCTTTCTATCTATGTACCCCCATAAGGACTTTGAAAAATCAGGCACCCCATCACTCAGTTTGAAATTGACATTTAAAATGCTTTCATCTAAGTTTATGAAGTTGCAAAACATATCATTCCTGGCATGTAAACATCTGGCACTGAAACAAAACTGTTTCATCAGTCATTCATCTATGGAAACAGCATAAGGGTTTGACATCCACCATTATCCAACTAAATTTACATATAAACTAAGCTGTGGCTAACACGACTGGAATACACAGCACCACCACGACACACCCATACCTGGAAAGGGAAATCTGAATTAATCAAGCCCGGAGGTCTAACTCCCTGCTTACACGAGACTGAGGAACAAGTTAGATAGCACAAGGAAGCAACTGGCCAAATTCAGAATATGGGGCATTCTACAGACAAAGGATCCAGTTTCTCTGACAAATTACTAGCATGGGAAAAAAAATGGGACTGTCAAAGAATAAGAGCAACTTAAAAGACACAACAAATTCAATAAGAAAATCTTATTTGGATCCCATTCTTCACAAAAAGTATTTTAGAAGACACCCTTTGAAAAAAAAAATGGAGGAGGAAATTTGAAAGCGGACTAGGTGCTGGATTATAGTAAGGAATGATTGTCAATTTTGGTAGGTGTGATAATGCCATGGTGAACGTGCTTCAAAAATACAAGTTGTTCCATCAGAGATATGCACTGAATTTACAGATAAAATAACACGCTGTCCGGGACTTGCTTTTACAAACTATTCCAACCTCCCAAGAAGGTTGGGGGAAGACAGTTGAAAAGAGATGAGCCAAATGTCAGCAGTGATTGAAGCCGGGTGGTGGGTACCTGGGGTGCATCACAGGGTTCACTCCATTTTTTTACCTGATGAAAATGTCTATAACAAAAGGTCTTTTAAGGGGGAAGAGGAGGAGAGAAAACGAAGTTTAATGAGTGCCCACAAAACCCTGTGGTAGGCCCCTTCCTAAGTATTATCTTAGTTTCCAAGTCCTCTTTTGCTGTCTGAAGAAGGGGCAGGAGGGCATTCAATACACTGGAAATAAACAGGGTGGGTGACAAGCGGGAGCCATTAACACCCGAAGATCACAGAGACGTATCCTGGTCACAAGGAAAGAGACCGCGAATACCCTTTGGCAGAGAAATGTCAGAATAAACATGTATCCATTCCATTCCTCCTGTAACGCGCTACTTACCCCTGCAGCAAAGCCGAGACTTCCATCTAGAATCCGCCTCTGAAAAGAAAAACGAGAGGGTTCAGATTCTAAGCAATGAAATGTCCTGGGACAGGAGGAAACCATCACACCTGAGAGCCACAGAAATAAAGACTGGTCCACGCCTGAGCTTTCACACCTAACTGGAAGCCCGGATCCAAGCCTTTAGAGAATGGGCCAAAAACCAGGGGAAACAGTGTTTTTAAACTTTCCATCCATCCCACAGCCAATGAGCACCTCCTTTCAGAGTGGTGCATGGCTCACACTGGCCCACGTGTGGCCTCTACTTTCCCTGTAAATTATGACGATAGACCTTTAGTAAGTAGCTGGCCTGAAAGATGGAAACTGACATGTGGTAGCAAGAAGCATGTGGACCAACCAAAACCCTCCCACGCTGCCGGTGGGGGTACAGACTGGCACAGCCACTTTGGAAAACAGCCTGGCAGCATCCGCTGGAGTGACCACAGGCATGCCCTATGACCCAGCAGCGCCACTCCTCACAGAAACGCATACTGGAACTCACCCAACATGTGTACGAGAATGCTCTCAGCAGCACTTTGTGACAGCCCAAAACTAGGAACTACCCAATGCCCACCGACCAGAGAATGGCTACATCAGTTAGGATATATATTCATACAACAGAACAACAGGATACCATGTGGCAATGAGAACACACACACACACACACACACACACACACACACACACACACACACAGCCTGCTAAACAAATGTAGACACATTTTAAGAAAGGAGAGCTGTATTAAAATTGCAATACTCAATATATACCAATAACAAAAGATGAATACAGGTCACCTTTGACTTCTGCAATGACAAGAGGTGCTCAAAGTGGTTCCATCAGTGTCCAGACACTTCTGATTATGGCGAACTACTGCTTGAGCAACGTTGACCAAAGTGTCCACTTGTGTACATTTTTTGGCACCCCCGGTATATATATGTGTGTGTGTATGTGTGTGTGTATATATATATACACACACACACACACACACGTATATATGTGTATATGTATACGTGTGTGTACATACATGTATATATATGAATGGAGCATTCAGTAAACTGGAAAATAAATAGAGTAAAATCAGCCAGACACAGAAGAACACATGCTATATGATTACTCCATTTATATAATGTATAAAAACAGAGAAATCTACTCAGTACTGTTAGAGACCAGGAGAGGGGGTGCACTTCGATTGGAGGTTGGGGGTGTGGGTAGTGCTCAAAAGGGAGCCTGAAAGGGCTGCTTGGGGGCTGGTACTGTTCTAGTGCTTGATCTGGGTACTATTTTCATGGGCATTTATGAAAAATTATCAAGCTGTACACTTATGAAATGTGCATTTTTCTATATGCATTTTACATTTCAGTAAAAAGCTGGGGTTTTTTTAAGAGAAGTGGCCTAAGTTAGGGATATAATCTATAGCCACGTGAACACATTACAGACATGTTGGGGTGGCAATCACCCGATCCCTGAGACTCCCACTGAGGTCGGGGTAGCTAGAGCCACCGGGTCAGTCATCCGAACCCACTGGTGGCCTCTTCGCCTCTCTGAATGGCTCTGGGGCAGGTGGAAGGTTTTGACCCCAATGAGCCATACAAATACCATTCTTCTCTAAGCACGCCAGGCCAAAAGCCAAGTTCATCTAACCAACTAATTTAATCAAACCAGGCGATATAATAAAAAAGTCAGGGAAAAATCATCCTATCAGCATTCATCCGCATCTTCAAGGGAGAAACATTATACCTTTTTTACAGTCAATAAACCTGTTATTCCACTTTTAGACATTTATTTCAAGGAACTAATCAGATATATGCTCAAAAGATTTGTGTTCATAACACTATTTCTAAAAGCAAGGAAAAAGGACATAACCTAATTATCCAGCAGTTAGGGATTGGACAAATAAATTGCCATACATCTTTATGATGGGATATTATATATATAGCCATTTATGTAACCAAAAAATAACAAAATAATCAAAAAACCATTTAGGGAAACAAGAGGATGCTTATGATAGCAAGTGAGAAAAGCTGGTAATAATAAAACATTACAAACAACCTGATCCCTATGAAGTAAAGAAAATAGATACATATATGCTTATGCATACTCCAATAGAACTGAACAAATTTGAGTATGGTTTTTCCTTTCTGAGAAGTGGGATTAGAAACTTTTTTAAATTATTTCTTTAAGCTCTTCCATATTTCACAAGTTGCCTATAGTTAAAGTATGACTCTTTAAATCAGGAAAACAAATTTTGAGTGATGCTATACCGATGCTGACAGCAGATGAAGACAGATGTCTGCGTGTCTCTACTCTCAAGTGACCCCATTTCAGTCAGATGAAAAGTGAGGTTTGCTCAGGAGACCAGAGAGCACCTCTGTGGACTCACGTCTATAGGGGTCTTTGTCTCCCCATGTCGTGCCCCCTCCCACTTCTCACGCACACCTCCTGTGCAGAAAGGGTTACCATAGCCCACCCGCGCCTGCTCTTTCAAAGGTCCTGCTTTCAAGCCTGGTCCTTGGTTGGCTTCTGGGAACTGGGTGCTGGCACTGCTCCCTCCATTCCCCAACAGATAAGAGTGGGTCGCTGTTTTACAAACCCGGTGATTGATGCGGGGCACCTACTGTCCTCCTGGGAGTCTAGAATTTTGGTGGTAGCACAGCATAGAGCACCTACACGGCCAGCGCCCAATGAAAACCAGGGGGGCTGAGTCTCTAACGGGCATCCCCGGGCAGACATGTCACAGCATTACTGCATTAGGTTGCCAGGACACAGAGCACTCTGTGAGCCCCCCTCGCAGGAGGTGGGGAGCAGCAGACGCCTGCGCACACACTTCCCCAGGCTCTGCCTGTCTTTCCCCTGCTGGCCCTGTTGTGTGTCCTTTCACTGAAATAAACCTTAGCCAGCTACATGCCGAGTCCCATGAGTCCTTCTAGTGCATCAACAAACATGTGGGTGGTCTTGGGGACCCCCTGTGTGCCTCCACACAGAGAAAGGTCTTGGCAATTCCTCCTTCTGACCTGGGTGGGTGGTTACCCAAACACGAGCCGAATCAGGAGCTCTGTAGCTCCGAAGGAAAAGGGGGCCCCTCTGTGATGGCTCCCCGCTTCCGAAGAGCCCCACAGCACTGGCCAGGACCACACGGGTCTGTGAGGTTCTACTCACCCCGGTGCTGCATTTAACTCAGGTCTCACTGGCCAGCTCAGCCAGCTAAGCCCCAGCTGGTGCGGCTCAGATCTTTCCTTCTTAAAGCGAAAGAAGCTGGTGAAGGTGAAAACACGGGCTGCTGTGCCCCAGTGGGCACAAGGACAGGACCCCAGGGAACCTGGCGTGGCTGTCATGAAAGAGGAGGAGGGTGGGGTAACCTGGTGCCTGCTCCTCTGGCTCCCGGGGGGGGTCTCTCATTCAGGAACTGGGTTTCCAGCGTTTTCACTACCTGTGGACAGCAAGCTGGCACTGGGGCTGTGTGTGTTGCCAAATTTCTGACGGCCTCCCAACCTCCCGCTGAAGAGGGGAGGGGCCGAAGAGGGGAGGGGCCGGCAGGCTGTGAGGTCTGATAAGATCTCAAGATCTCATCACCGACATCAATACCTGCTTTACTGGTCTCTCGCCTGGCTTGCCAGCTTCCTAGACGGGTTTTAGTTTCCAGAGCCGCCTCACAGCATGTGATCTTAAATCACTTAGTTACTTAGCACTCCCTACAATTTCTAAGGCTGCATGCATCAGGTTATCCATGGATCACCCTATGGCCTGAGGATGGAGGGCGTCAAGGGCTTGGAGAAGAGAAAGGAACCTGGGACGTAGGAGGTGGGCGTGGGCTGTGGAGGGGAGCGGTGGGCTACCTGGAATGTGTGGGGGTTGGGTAAAGGTGGGTGGGGGTGGCGTGGGCAGGGGTGAGGCAGGTCTGAGTGTGTGCATCCCAAAGGGACTGGGAGAGGGAATGCAGAGCCCTGGATTTGGGGTAAAAGAGAGGAAACAGAGTCCCTTCCTTTCCCCCCGGCTGTCCAATCATCCCAGCTAACCCCAGGCCACAGAGCAGGGCAGTCATACCCAGAGCCTACTGTTCCCCTTCAGTCATGCACATGCCTGCACCAGGCCTGAAAGAGACTAGATGGCAGACAGAAATCAGGCAGGGGCTCAAGGACGCTGGCTCACTGGCTTCCCTCACTCCTTACTTCCTTCGAATCAGGAGGGGAGGAGCACGTGATGCCTGAACTGTAGACACCTGCTCTCCGGGCCTGGCAGGGAGAAGGCAGAGAACTGGGAGGACACCACCCACAAGCTGGAGGTGTGGCCAGCGGCACTGGGGTCTGCCACCCGGCTCTGCGGAGTGGTTCAGAGCCTGCTGAGAGGACTGAATCCAGGCAACTCACCTGTCCACTAGAGAAAATGAACACGAGAGCCGCCCCAGCTGCCGTCATCCCCCAGGTGAAGAAGGTTCCCAGCAAGGCCTGGAACACAGAGCTGTGGCCTTGGAGCATGCTGGATACGGCTGTGTGCAGAGGAGCGAGACAGGGTCAGCTGCCGGCGGTCCCTTCCGGTGACATGCACGCGTTCTAAGGTGTTCTAACCCCCTCCACCTGAGCTGGCCTGTGTCTGGGTTGGTGTATGCACCTTTCCGCCATGCCATCCCTCAGTGAGAGACGTGGGGACACCTGGGGAGATGCCAGAGGAGACGACACCATGAAAGAGGTTACAACATTGGAAAATGGTTCCGAAGAGAAGTTCAAACAAGTGGATTATTGAGCGTGAAGGCAGGGAGCAGAGGAGGGTCTGACTGCAGCCTTCCCGCCCACCTGCCTTCTTCCTGCCCTTGCCAATCACTGGGTCTAGCTCAGGTTCCCTCTCAAAGCTCTTCCACCTGAGTTTTGATCCAACCTTCAAAGGCTTCACGTGGCAGCTCCCGTGGCCTTCCAAGGGCATACGCCACCGGCCTTCCAAGGGCATACGCCACCGACTGACCTTCAACTAGTCTGCCGACTATTATCACGGTGCCCTACGTGGGCACCATACTCCGGCTCAGTCCAATTTTTTATGGCACCTTGGACAAGCTTACCTTGCTAGGACACCCAGCAAGGACAAGGAAATGGAGCCATACAGGGCATTTCCCAGTCAACTGCTAAAGCTGAAGTTACACCACTGCCCACAGAGGAAAGAAAGGGAAGGACATTACCTCGTGTTTTTGCTCAGAGAGCCTCCTCTAGACTTGAACGTGTTCTGAACTTAAACCCTAGTTCTGAAATGATAGGAAATCAGACTCTCGCTGTGGAAAGTTACAAGGCGGAGAAACCCGTTTGTTGAAAAGCCCTGTGTTCTGGTACACAAACATTGGGGGCGAGGGCCTCCTCATCTCAAAGGGCTCATTCAGCTCCCCACCGGCCTTCCAACACCCACAGGGCTGGACATGACCCCACCGGGCTCAGCCCTGCCAGGCCCCAGGGCTCAGAGGAGCCAGCAACCCTGGGCTAAATAAAGACACTCCCTCTCTCTATTGACCCTGGAAGGAAACCATGACCAAGGGTGTAAGGGGCCCTTATACCACAGGGCTCAGCAGCACAGCTAGGATTCAAACCTAGGAAGGCTGTGGGTCCAGGTGAACCCAGATAAGCCCAAATAAGCCCAAGTGAGCCCAGGCTCAGGCCCGGTGCCAGGAAACCTCAGAGAGACAGCATCTATGGATTCAAATGGTATCCCCATAGTCTAAGTGGAACTCAGGATAGTGACTGAATCAAATAAAGAAAAAAAAAAGTCATTTAAAAAAATGCACCCTTTTATATATGTCATCTTGTTAAGTCACCCTAAAAAGGGAGGTTTGTGTTTGTTTTTAAAACAAGACATCTGGATCATGACACCAACTTTCTATTTCTAGCTGCTTGTGGATAAAATTTGCAACAGTATTTACAAAGAAAGGCACACAGCTATCATCCTCTTAGTACTTATTGACCCAAGACAGGTCATTAAAACAAACAAACAAAAACACCTTCCCCTCCCCACCCCCACCCCTGTATTGAATGTGCCTTTTAACAGCTACAGAAGAGGGGAAACCATTTGCATTTCCCAAAAAGCCAAAGTCAACGTGGGGTTTGTGGGCTGGCAAACAGGAACCTCATGGGTGTTCCTGGGGGCTGCTGGGAGGGGGAAGCTCTCTTCTATGTCTGTCCCCATTTACAGCTGAGCACCCTGAGATCCAAGAAAAAGGAGCACATAAGGAAGACCAAGGCCACCATCCTTCCTATCCCAAGAGTCGCGGCTCTGATCATTGGCCATGAGAACCCAGCCCCTCTTTGAGAAGTTTCTTCCCTTTGCTGTTTTAAAAAGGGTGGTCCGAGAACCAGTAGCGCTGATCCCCCTTAGGAGCCAGCTAGAGATGCAGGATCTCGGGCCCCTCCCCAGCCTTGCTGAATCCGAATCTGCGTTCTATCCAGGTGCATGGGGCATTTCTTATGCACAGGGCATTCTTATGCACATTCAAGTGGAAAGCACTGGTCTAACACTGGAACGAAGTCTACAAGACCAAGAGCTTAGAAAGTGACTGTCCTGCCCTACAAGGGCCTGGGCAAGGCTGACACCAAGTCACGAGAGAACAAAGCGTCGTCTCCGAGCAGAAAGACCAATAGCACACCTTGGGGACAAGGAGCAGTCCGCAAGGGCACGTCAAAATCAGCTTCCGCAATAAGGCCCAGACTTCCTTGTGTGCTGGGTGTTAATACCTAAGCCTTGATTTGTTTGCAGGGTAGGGGGGCATTCTCTTCCCACCCCAACTTTGAAGATGCCAACACCACCCCACACGGGCGCACTACAGCAGCACAGGAGGAGTTCCCGGCTGATCCAGGATTTCTTCTCTCCCTTTCAAACCTCCTGCCCTCCTTCCAAGAGTCGGCCCCAAGATGTTGGCGAAGCTGCAGAGGTGGACATGGCACATAATGGAACTGCACACACGGGCCCTGACTCCACAAGGGGAGTCCAGCACGATGATTCGGGGCTGGGCTGCTGTGACTGTGGAAAAGTTCTCCAGTACCTCGCGCCTCAAAGTGTGGCCGGCGGACCAGCGGACCCAGGGATTGGCTGCAAATGCACCATCTCTGGCCTGCTGCACCTTCACCAGATGCCCAGTCAAGTTCAAGAGGCCCTGCTGACCCCCAGGGCCAGTGGGAGGGGTCACGGAGCAGCTGGGATGGCGGCCCCCTCCACTCCCAGGGGTCCAGGGTCCCCCACACGCCCACCATGAAGCACTAAATGAAGATCCTGGAGCACCAATGTCAAAGGAAGGCAGGTCGACACCCTCCGACTTGCCCGGGAAAGGGGCAGAGGGAGCTCCGGGCCCCCTTCTCCGCCCCCTGCCACCTGCCAACGCAGCCCATCTTCCCCTCCAAGCCCCTCCGCTCCCCAGAGGAACCCCCTTCCAAGCCCCACACTCCTGTCCTGATGGTCCCAGACCCCAGGCCTCCGGCTCGCCCGAAGGCGCTGAAGGAGAGAAAAGCCGACTCACTAGGGTGCCCTCTCGAGCCCCCACTCCACTTCCATCAGCCCCTGCTGCAGCTCGCTCGCCGGCTCCACTCCCGAAATCACTTCCTGCTTCCCTCCCGGCACACGTGTCCCACCGGCCCCCAGGCCCCGCCCCGCACTGCTGTGATTGGCAGAGCCCGCCTGAAGAATAAACTCTCTGGTTCACAGCTTTCTTCAGGCTCAGAAACAGCTGGGGCGGGTAGAACAGAGCCCTGAGGCCAAACGGAAAGGAACATTCTGCATGTAAAAAAGGGCCTCTGCAGTCTTATCTGAAGCCACAGAAACCCAAGGAAAGAGCACTATGTCATGCCCCTGATATCGTTTATGTCCCTACACTCAGTTATGCTCATGAGATCACAGAAGTAAAAGTAATAAGCAGTTTACGGAAGTGCTATTGAAAGCACTTTTTTTGTTGTTCTTTTGTGTAGGGGATTTTTTTTAAGTATCCCCGACCCATATGTCCAGAATTCATCCACTTCTCTCCATCTCCACTGCTGCCGCCTCTGCCCAAAATAATAGCTTTGACTCCTCATCCTGCCTGACCTGCCCCCCCCCCGCAATTATCTTCCTGAGTCCCCACTGTGCATCCCCCCAATAGTACATTCTCCAAACAGTGATTTTTTTTTTGAGAGCTATTAAGTATAATCATGTCAGTCTACTGCTGCAAACCCTCTGAGGACTCCTCATTGGAGTAGAACTCAAGCTCCCCCTCCTTAACCTCGGAAGCCCTACGTGACCTGGCTCTGCTCACTCTCAACCACTATACCCTTCCCTCAGCTGCTTCAGCCAAGCTGGTCTGCGCTCTCCGTGAACACCAAGCTTACTCCTGCCTCAGGGCTTTTGCACTTGCTGTTCCCTCTGGAACACTGCCTAGAACCCCTGCCTGATACATGTCTCCCAGATTTTCACCTGGCTGGACCCTTCGTGTCATTTGGGTCTCAGCCCAAATGTCACTTCTGCAGAGGCCTTCCTTGAACACCTACTCTAATATAGACCTTCCAAGTTTCTTTATTTTCTTCATGGTACTTCCTAATATGTGGCATTTTTATTTATTCAGTCCCCCAAATGCAAGCTCTGTGAGAGCAGTATCATGTCTGCCTTTTGCACTACTGTGTCCCCAGCGTGTGGCACACAGTAGATACTCAATATTTATTGGATGGATAAATCACTCAGATAGAAAATTGTTATTTGTTGGCTACACTTTATGTATTAAAGGCCTTCCTGAGAGTTATGAGAAAACAATATTTGTACATTGGATCAGACCATCCCAACTACTTCCTTATAACCTGATAGTCATCCAAGGCTCTCAGTGAAGGGCACTTTTGCCCCACAGGGCACAACAGGCAACTGGGATGGTGCCAGTGAGTAGAGGCCAGATATGCTGATAAACATCCAACAATGCCCAGGACAACCCACACACACACACACACACACAAAAGAATTATCTGGGCCAAAATGTTAATAGTGTCAAGACTGAGAAACCCCAGTGTAATCCCATAAAGTAATCTTCTTCGTATGAAGTAATGATAAAAATCACACTTTAAATTTTAACATGCCTTCAAGAAGCATCCAGCCTCAGTCAAGGCACTGATCCACTCTAAAATGCATTTTATTCACCCAAAAACGCAAGAAAGAAGAAAACCAACTGCCCCACCAATCTTTATATAGCCCAGCACAATCACTGCACAAATATATGTACCGTCAAACATGCTATGTGCTCAATTTCCTCCACCCTTTTGGGTCTTCATCATGTAAGTTCCCAATGGCATCATCAGGACACTATGACATCACAGGGCTTCCTAAATGGAAATACCTGGAAGGCCGCTGGTAGTGACTCCCTCACAGGTGGGACAGATCTGGCCGCCCTTAAGATTCTTCTCTCCAGTATAACTGATAAACTGCTGACGAGGAGTCTAACCAGCCTTTTCCTAAGCACCATCCAAAGGAGCCAAGAGTGACTTGATGCCACTTTTCTGAGGCTGGCAGAGGGAAGAGCTGCCCTCCAGGGCCACAGAGAGAAACTGAGTCCCTTCTCACCTTTGTCTAAATGATTGATGCTGAACCTACACCACCTACTTGTATGCTCAAGTGGGGGCGCAGAAGTACAGATTCTACTGACTGTGCAAATCTATTGTTGGGAGGGGAGTTTCCAATACTGAGACAGATATTTAAAATGCAAACCCAAGCTTGCTCAACTGCTCGCTTAATATGACATGGAATTACTAGATAAGAACCACCACTGATTAAACTGAAACCAAGCCTGTCTCTGAGATGATCATCGGCATAAGTCAGTTTTCCCAATTTTCCACGTTTGCCTCAAACACATCTCCTGGCATCTCATAAGTAACTCTATGGAGCCCATTTTGTTAGCTTCACTGAGGGGAATCGCTCAACAAATAAATTCTATTGATATTTCACGCCTGCTCCTTTACAGCTATATGGATCAATGAAAGGCCTGTTGCTTCATTCAACCATTCAGCAAATGTTTACTGCATACCTACTATATGACAGGCATGTTTGAGACATTGGATCCACGCTCGTAAGTGAGACAGACACATCCCGTGCCCTCACGATGCTTCCAATCTCGATACTCTGGGCGTGGCATTGATCGCACGTTATAAATTAAGGCTTATTATGAAAGCTGTTGTATTCATATTCAGCTGCTCTTTCCTTCTCTTATTCCTCAGGAAACGTCCATGCCTTCCTCCAGCCAGTGAGGACAAATCAATAGGATAGAACCCCTCCTTTCGGTGGACAGAGAGGCAACTGACCACTGTGGCCAGCTGCACGGGGGTTGCTGGGAGTAGAGGGTGTTCTAGGTGGGGAGAGGATGGTTGCCAAGACAGGCCTCAGAAGAAAAGGACCTCGATCTAAGTCTTGTGCTTTCTTTTTCATTCTAAAGTAATCTTCATTTTCATACTAAATTTCTAATTTTTTTTTCTTAAAGAGGACTCTTTAAACTGTATAGGCTTCAGACCCCCCAAAACCTGATGTGCCCAGGGTGGATGTTTAGAGATTTAAGCTGGAAAACAAATAGCTTCTTCTGGTAGACAGAACATTGACAGACACGCACACGCACGCGCGCGCGCGCACACACACACACACACACACACACACACACACACACACACACACCACACACCACACACCCGCAAAAGGTGTCCATGTCCTAATCCCTGAAACCTGTGAACAGGCACCTTGCGTGGTACCATGGTGTCTTTGCTGATGTGATTAAGTTAAAGATCTTGAGACGGGGAGATTATCCTGGATTATCCGATAGGCGCACTGTAATCGCAAAGGTCCTCATAAGGGAAAAGAGGGAGGCAGCAAAGTCAGGGTGAGAGGAGATGTGGCAATGAACGCATGGGTGAGAGAGGCAGCCGTGAGCCCAGGGATGCACGCAGCCTCCAGAACCTGGAAAAGGCAGAGAGATGGATTCTCCCCTAGAACCTCCAGAAGGAACACACAGCCTTGCCAATTGTAGCACTTCTGACATCCGGAACCATAAAATAGTAAGTTTGTGTTGTTTGAAGCCACTACATTTGTGAGGGTTCCTTATAGCAGCACTAGGAAACGAATACACTTCCTTCTGCCTGGAAGCATCTAATTTCAGTGACACCCTCCTCCAATGGAGATACCAACCACCAAGACCGCCCTCTGTCTTCGCCTGCTGTCATCAATAGGCAGGACGGGCTATCTAATTTGCAGGGCCTGGTGCAACACGAAAATGGGAGGCCCCTTCTTCAAAAGGCAAGAAAAAAAGTGCCATTGAAAGTAGGGACATATAAAGCTTTTTCCTTTCTTTGGCGTGTCTCCTCTGCTTACTGCAGAATCCACTGTCCCATCAGACTTTACTTACAAAACACGAGTGCAGAGATAAAATGATTAAGTATCTCAAGACAGTGACAGCAGAGCACTAAACTGAGCACAGAGCCTTTCTGGGCATGGGGCCCTGAGCACCCGTGTGAGGCTGCCTCTAGCACTGAGGTGGCAGGCCAGGCTGAGGAAGGCCACAGTGTCAACACTGGGAAATCAGGCCTGAGTTGGTTATTCAGCAAAAAGCCCACAGAGAGATTCAGAACTAGGGCATTCGAGACTGAACAAAAGCGTAAGGGAGACCACAACTAGGACCCCAAAGTCCTGGTCTAAGCCAGCCCGGGGAGGGCAGAAGCAGACGCCCTGTCAGGGGAGCCTGGGATTGGGGAAGGAGAAATTCCCATTCCTAGTGGGAAGGAGGAATTAGGCAAGGAAAAACACAGGGCCATCTCAGCAATCAGAAACTAGTGGGCCAGTGTGTGGGGTCTCCAAGCTTTCCGGGGGCCTATGAAATGGTTAAGAATTGAAAAAAATATATATGCTGGATCTTGGGCTCAAAAAAAACCCCAAAAAACTGTAGAAATTTAAATTAATAAATGCTTAATTAAATCTCCATAAAACCTTGTTAATTGTTGACTTTGATATTCATAAAAATTTAATTACATTCAGAAAACAATCTGAGGCTTAGCTTTTCTCACTTCAAGAGAACTAAGTATGCATAAAAATGGCCAAGAAATTACAGCCAACCATAAATTAAATAAGCTTAGAGCCAAAATATTTCAAAAGCAAAATTATAAAAATCTGATTATTTTTATGGGGGGAACAGCATTTAATGTGGAAAGAGGGAGCATTTTAATATGCTTGGTGCAATATGGGATGAGATCTCACAAAGCAGGAGTTCTTTGCGGGCCTACAGACATCCTAAGAGGCCTCCTAAGGGAACGGGGGAGCCGGGATTCCCAGAAGCTCTATTCCTCTCTCCAGGAACCCACAGAAGACAGGATGGCGGGGAGGGAAGCCCCTTCAAGTACAGGAGAGAAGAAGGCAGCAGGGTGGCCCTCAACTGTCTAGAGTCAACGAGAGAAGCAGACCCCAAGGCTCTCCAGACCTCCTCACCATGAGCTGAGTGACAAGGTCGGGACTGGAAATGTGTGGCTGCTGTATGAAGTCATCTGAGAAGCCCTGGGTGGGGCACTGAATGGTGGCCCCAAAAAGGACATGTTCAAATCCTAACCCCTGGTGCCTGTGAATGT